GTTTTCGGAGCAAAAATAAAGTACAGCGAGTTCTTTTGAATACACCTATTTTGAATGAATTTCAATCTAATTTTCGTATCCATTTTCTAGAAATACTGCGTTATAAAATTTTATTAGTTTCCGATAATCATGGTGCTTTTATACTACTGAAAGTTGTATGTTGTTTTTGCTTCATAAATATGCAAATATCTAAATATATATGAAATAAGTATTGAATTGTGAACAAAATGAAGGATTTTGTTTATCAAAATATCAATTTTGATTTGTCTCGAATGTTGTTCGTATTGAAAAACTAGAATTTTTTTTTCCTACAATTTTAATTAACGAGAAATCATTGAATGCAGAATTCAAAGCTGAAAAAGAATACCTGATTGCTTTTGTTTATTTTTGGTTAAAACTATGTTAACTACGATTTTCCGGAAAAGGATGAAATTTCCTAACGAACAGTATTCGAAAGTTTTTGAACGATCAATACACATAATTGTAAATTAAGTACATACTCCAAAAGCTTGTCAAAAAATGCGCAACTTTCATTGAGAATATTCGTCTATATGACACTTCAGTTCGTTGAAAAATTTTTATTTTTTGAAATTCAATAATGATCTCTATTTTTCTAATAACTCTAGTTCCACTTACAATGAAACTTTCTATATTAATAGGCATAAACATTGACCACATTCGGGTCAAATTACCACTCTCATCGCCCAACAAACAAATTTAAAATATTACGTATCCATACCGGCTGTAGACAGAAATATTTGATTTTTAAGATACTTACAATTTCGGTATGTGAACATGATACTATGAGAACTATTCAAATCCAATGTTTTACATAATCATCAGATTTTTAAAGAAATATATATTCGAAATCTTGTTGAAATTTATCAATCACAACAGAATCACACTAAATCCAGCTTTTTCTGTAAGTTTACCGATACTAGGCTGGCGAAAAATACGTATTGTATTTGAAAAATGACTGATACATAAGCAATCTAACCATCGATCGAAAAAACTAAATGAATTTAGTAAACATTGCAAAACATCTTCTTTATTTGACGGAAAGAGATTTCTGCGCTGAAAAGTCAACAACAAGTGCTGAGAAAATTTTTGCATCAGAGCAATTATTTAAATTTTTAAAGACATTTAAAGACAATCACTTTAGTGGAGTTAATGTGCACCAAACTCTCGACTTCGATGATGCAACAACTAATACAAGCAAAAGTTCTGATCGCCTATAGGTTTTGATAAAAACTTGTCAACTTTTTTCCCTCTTCGATATTAGTCAACTTTCCGAAGAAGTTGAATCTAGTGTGATTTTGATGTAATCGATAAATTTCAACAAGATTTCGAACATATACTCCCTTATAAACCTAATGATTTTGTAAAACATTAAATGTAAATAGTTCTCATATTATCATGTTCACATACAAAAACTGAATATCTCAATGCATGCTCACTCTGGCCATATAATATTTTTGAATTGTTAGTTTGGTGATGGGTCATGGTTTTATCAGAAACAAGTTGAGCGAAAGTCATCAAATTCTACTTGGGTCTCAAGAAGAAATCTTTTTTAAGCTAACTGGTCCTGTTTTAATTCTTCATTTAGTGTCCAAGATATTAAGCTTCATCACGATAATGGAAGATCACATATCAGAATCGTTGCATTGTGCTGTGTCCAACTTCAAGAACTGTTTAAATAAAAAAAGAGTATAGAGGAATGTTCGATAAATATATTCAACAAGTGCCATTAAGTGTGAATACCCACGGCGATTCCTCCGAGCATTTGATGAAATAAAAAAAAACTTGATGAACTCTTTTTTGTATTTCTTTTTTGTTCTATTGGCACCATTTTTGTTGTGTATGCCAATATGTATAGGTGGTTAGGCCTTGAGGAGGACGAAAAAATGAAGAAAAGAAAGAGAGAATAACAAGAAGAGGATACACATTGAATATAAAATATAATCTGAAACAGTTAACACATATGATAACGAAAAAAATCCTATCGAAAATTTATTATTATGATATTAGGTGAAGAGTGATCAAATATCACAGAAAAATAGAGCATTGCTTTTACTATCAGAATATATAGAGAGAAACCTTCTTAAGGCTTTTTATAAGAAACTAAAATAACTCCATCATTACTTTTGAATTGCTTTAAGCACTTTCAAATGGAAATTAGTTTCTTCGTCGAGTTCGAAATGAAGCCTCTATCGATAAATATGTTATTTGAGGGCTTTACGATTCATTTTTCTGCGCAAATATTTACTTAACGCGTTGCTATGCTGCTCAGATTCACATAACTGTATTCACTCTTATCACCGAATAGCACAATGTATCTTTCATTCTTGCTACTCTCTGCACTTGTCGGATCAACCATTGGTTGTTCATGTATATTCCCACCATTGTTAAGTGATAGTTTTGCTCAAACACCAATTATTTTTATTGGACGTGTAATTGCTACAAATGTAACACAATCAAATCCATTCATGGGTTATGCCGATATGACTATGGAAGTAGAAGAGGCATTCAAAGTTAGTCAAAAACAAATGAGATTCTTGTGTTAAATATGACTTTTTATCATTTAGGGCACAGTGGTTGGTGCACAAATTACTGTCCGTACAAACCTACAAGGAGCAATGTGCGGTTTCGGTGCCATTCCAGTGGGTACACGATGGCAACTATGGTTAACAGAAAGCAAATCGGCAAATATTTGCTCGAGAAGTACGCGAGATGCTGACAAAGATCTCGATGAACTTCGAAAATTATCCGCCAATAGCTTATAGTTGACCAGTTTAAACTCAATTAACCTTATCTTGCGAGTTTAATATTAAATTCCTCAAAATTTATTCAATAAAAAGCAAAATCACTAATTATATTCATGTATCTATCTATTTCTTCTCTAAGATTAATATTTCGTTAAACACATTCACTTGGAAATTTCAATTTCATACACATAGTTGAAGATTAACCAATAGATTTTTATCAATGCTTTATTTTAAAAAAATCACTCAAATAGAGTTCGTCGTATAATATTATTACTAATTATTATTAATGCGACAATCTTAATTCAAAACATCCGATAGTAGCAATTGTAACGAACTTGAGGCGATAAATACCTGTGACATAGTAACACTCGCTTTATTTGGCTTCTTCATGCAACAAACTCTCGTTCACATACAGAACATACACTTATATAGAAAGAATAGAATAATGAATATCGGTTAAGTATAGCGGTCTCATCAGAAGAGAAGGGTAACAGGTGATATGGAGGCCAAGAGATAGATGAAGATGATATATCTCGTTACAGCAATATATTGATAAATGATAATTTCTTTCAGTATATAATACAATTTTTTAATCAATCACTAGATCTTAAAACAAAAAAAAAATATAGTTCAAATGTTGCTTTATTTGTAATGTGATATTTTTTTTCTTTCATTTTTAAGGCAACAGAAATTGATTCATTCAAATAAATTTTAAATAATTTTCATTACCAAAGATATTTTTATTTTAAACAAACAAATATTTAACATTTATGTAAAGAAAATCATTCACAATAGATAAATCAAAATCGATTCCATTTCAAAAGAACATTACCACATATACATTTGATACGATAGTTAAATAGTAATTTTTCCGATTCGATCAATTTTTCTAATTGTTCAATCGAGTCTTCATTGAAATTCGGAATAGATAGACATAAACAATTGAAATAAGGTGTATATATACTGGATTTTATTATAATAAATCGTACGATCATTTGAAGATTCATATTCTTCGGAAGATCTATTTGAAAATATTGTATAGGACGATAGAGGTAGAGAAGTAAATGCATTTGTTCAATATCGATCATCTTTATAAGATTGACTTTTGTAATTTTATTTTTAATTGAAGTTGTAAAACAAGTTTCTCTATCATTATCAAATAACCAATCCAATTGAATAATTGGTACATATGATATTTTTAATGAATCAAGATTTGATAATAAATGTATGATTTTAACAAATTGTTCAATAGAAATATTCTTGCAATTAATATTTAAACGAGTAAAATAAGTCGTAGAAAAAATTGATTTAAATTTATCGATAAATAAGTGATTTTTTTCATCCGAAGAATTTCCATTGATACTTAGTTGAATAGTTGGAATTAATCGAATTGAAGAGTTTTCAGTATTTTGATTAAAATATGTAACAATTTCTGGATGTTTGTAAATATCAATCCATATATTTCTATAAATAAAAGCCAAATTATGGATAGAAAAAAACTAAAATAAATTCACCTATATGGATGAATTGAACCATTGACATTTTCCTGATCCATATTGATTGTAAATTGAAAAAACAATTGTTGTTTAATCCAAAATGGCGAAATAAATTGATTGATCTTCTTAAAAAAAAGAATGCATGCATTATCGAATGGATGATGTTCATAGTATTCATAATCGGATTTTCGTAAGTAAGGTATGCGTGCTTTGATTAATTCTTCCCAATCATGACCGGTAAGATAATCACTACTTACGCAATTTCTTATGCGCAATATTTGCACTGGAGCGAACAATTTTTTGATGAACATTTTAAAGATATTAAACGATCCTTCGATATGAATGTATATTAGATTGAATAACTTCATCGGTTTTACCGTTTCGAAATCATTCGACGATGGTAATAAGCATTTACAAGTCAAATGACGTATTCGAGGTGTATGTTGAAGTATAGAAAAAAGTTTATCCAAAGTACAACAATAACTAAGAATTAAATATTCAATCGTGCTGAATTTTTCAATGATTACCAAAGGTATCAAAATATTTGTATGTCTATATCCGGAACACGATAATAACCATAGTTTATTATATTTCAAGGAAGGAAAAGAGAGAATCATTTGATAGATGTGATGTAGATCACAATTATTTCGTGCATCAAAATATATAGTCAACGAGAAAAGATAAGGTAAACATTCTATATAAAAAAGAGGTATTACAGAATTAGTGGTTGTAATGTTTTTAAGAATAATTGATTGAAGATGATTGAATAGTGAATCAATGATACAATATGTAAAAAAATTATTAATAATCGATTCATTATCCAAACACAATGAAAGAATATGATGTCTATTTGGAATAATCAAATTTTTACAACAATGTATGAGTTCTGATGTTGTTTCCGAACGAAATTGAATTCTGAGTGAATAGGATCGATGAGTAATAAGATCGCGAAAACGGTAATTAAGATTGAAAAATGATTTATAAATGTTATAAGCATCAAGATATTCAAAAATTTCATAAAAAAGTTCATTTGACATATGTTCAATGCAAGTGATCGAGATGCTAAGAGAAATCAAATAGATATACTATTATATATTAAAATATATTATTATCTTACTTTTCTTTTGTCAATGTTACTAAAAAGAAATAAAGAGGGAAGATGATTATGTACATATATCTAATTCGAAACTTACTTCGAAATTTTTTTCTTTCAGGACTCAAAGGTTCATTGACATCTGATTATTCGTTGATATAAGGCATATTTCTTTTAGAAACAGATGTAATCGACAATACTAGATGATAATGTTAATTTAAAAGAAAAAGGACGAACATATAGTTTGAACGTCTGACCTGACCTGACCTGACATTGTTCAATGACTGACAGATATTCTGACCTAGAGATTGTTTGACGTCAGCTTACACAGTCTAAATAGCACGGTCATTCCTGTCATAGATTCGATTCGTTCAGTTTTGTACTTATTACATTTTATCGAATTTCGCGTGGGTATTACCGAATAACATGATGGATGTATTATGCTGATAAACAAGATTTCGTTTTGATCTCTCTGAAGATTATTTTATCGGTTAAATATTATTTCATAAGGGTTTATTGTCATTGTATCAAAGGGAAAAATTATTATCTCGCAATGAATTTAGATGATTTTGATCTGTAGAAGGAAAATCTATTAGATTGTCCATATCAAAAAACAATTGAATAATAAATATTTCGGATAAATTTGATTTTTTCCTCGTTTTTACGATTCCTAATTATATTTATTTTTTTTGCATTCTTCTCGTCCAATAGTGAATTTTGCATCGAAAAATATTATAATACAGAATTAACATCATTTCACGCATTTATCTCTCATGCGGAACATAATTCTAACAATCAATTTTAACACATTGATCAAGTATCGTTAAAAAAAAGATTTTATCAACAACTAGCGGAAGTACCCGGCGTCGCCCGGGAAAGTTCAATCTTAATAAATGCGAGCTTTATTTTTTGAACCGAATAGTGGAAATAGGATAAGATGAGTTACGAAAAGAGTTTGAATGAAAAAAGAGAAAAAAAGGAATTGTTTAGACAGAATGATTTGAATGAATCAAATCAAAGAAATGGATCAAAAATGGAAGCACGTAAATGAAGGAAATGTAAAGAAATAATTTAGGGTGTGGGTGTGGGTGTGTGGGTGTGGGTATGGGTATGGGGTGTGGGTATGGGGTGTGGGTGTGTGGGTGTGGGTGTGTGGGTG